GGGGGGGGGGCAGGGGTGGATATTGAACTTAAAAAATTCGGCCCCCTTCCTTTTACGGGGCCCCCTCAAAATGTTTTCTGGTAAGCAAAAATGTTACAGTAAAATGTAAAGGGTGGGTTCAAAATACTTTTCAGACCTTTTTCGACCTCAATTTCAGAACACGTTGCGCAATTCCAGCATTCCGGGGCCCCCTCTGTGAAAGTTGGGCCCCCTTTCAAGTTGACTTTTTTGGCCTGAGAACTGCCTAGGTGTTCTAGATGTGGTTGGATAACTGTAGATATCCTTCCAGAAATGGGTGGATAACTGTAATTAAAATTGGACCAAAAGTATATGTCAGATAACGCGTAACCACAAACAGCCATACAAAAGAGAAGAAATATATACCGGGGGAAATCCCTACATGTAGCTTAACACATACAGGAGAGATTATTTGTAACTCATTAATTTTGTCCACGAAGACGGAATTCATTTTGTAAACCAACTATTTATTTTATAGATAACTCACACGTACATGTTGTCTTTATCTTCTTGCTGTTTTAAACTGAAGTGATGGCCAGTTAAAACTACTAAATAAGTAACAATGCGCAGAAGTTTGGTCTGAAATTTGACTAAAGTTATTGAGCAACAACAAAATAATCAAATATACAAGACATACAACTTTAGTAAATATTACCAAATCATAAATGAACAGAGGGTCTTTTTTAAAAATAGAAAATGGCATGACATCACGGTGAAAGAATCCAGCCTTAATATTAATTAAATTAATTACTGTAAGTAAACGAATTACAATTTCAATGTAAACTGACAGATGTTTTTGACAAAAAGCGCGTGTACTATTTATGTTCGAACAGTTATAAGCACGACGAGTCGTGAAAGAACAGATGTTTATGGGAAGGGGAGAGAAAATACACTTAGCTTGCTATACTTATCGCGGTATATTCCCGATAAAATATAATTAAAACCAAACCGCCAAATCAGCGGCGCCGGCTATACAATATATTACAGGCATTACCTGAACAATAAGCGACTGTAAACAGTGTGATTTAGACATAAATGCTTTCAGCCAATCGTACAACTTTAGCTAAGGTAGTTTTATAGGCATAGGCTTGTTTACTGGAAGAAGTAAACGCTTTTGACGAGCTCTTTGGTTATTTATAGAACTACATGACTCGACGTTGATTACATAACATACGGTTATTCGGGTCAAATGGGGGTTACGAAAAAAATCGTCAAAAATTCAATTCTAAGTTGCCCGAAAATTTTATTTGATTAATAGCAAGGGAAAACATATTTCTTTGATCTGGTTATGAATTTTTTGTCTGAATCGATGTAACAATGGAGATATTCGCTGCCTAATATGGCATATAATAAAGAGGTTCGAAAATAAAAAAAAACATTAAGAAAATCTGTAAAATATTCACTTTTTACAGAAATGTCTCTAAATTTCGTCTGCTAATCAATAAATATCTCTAATTTATAAAACAAAATCATGTTTTGTGAAATATTCCCATTAACGCGCAAAATAGAGCGATTTTGGTAGTGCCGTAAAATGACCTCCAAAAATCGAAAGCGGCCTGGGAAAACCAATTTCGACGTCTCTCTCCTTCAATATTTATCCGATCGAAATAAAACTTTCACAACATTAATACTTCATATAGGCCTACATTCTGACAAAGTTTGAAAGATTTTGAATTTTTTCATTTTACACGTCTTACCTGACTATTACAGACAACCGCTCTTAATTCGTTTCGCCGGGTGTAAATAGCAGGGGGGAATTAGTACCCTCGCACGGCGCTTCACGCCGTCGGCTCGGGGATTACTAAAATACGGTCAGATAGATTGGGATTTGGAATACCGAATACGTCTAACATTTTACTAACTGTGGTCTAAATAAATGATAGATGAGCATGTATTTATTAATTTCTTCGAAATCACGAGTGTGCCAATAGTGGAAGCCGTATCGACGACGAAATTGTTAGCAGGTATACAGTAAATAGTACGACGTTTAATGTACGATATATATTTATCTAAATGACATGCCAGCGAAGATCAACAATATAATTATTCGTACATATTTGGGCATACCTAATTTTAGTGTGCAGTGATAACCAATTTGTGCAGTGATAAAAGTAAAATGTGCAGTGATAAAATGTAAAATGTGCAGTGATAAAATTTGCTTTGATAAATTGTTAATTAACACAAGAGAATGATTCAATTGAAATTGAAATGATGACTGCCAAATTAGCGAATTAAATAATAGTATATGTTTTTTGTACGAAAATCATGAGATTCAGGCAATTTTTAGTTAATATCTGGCTTTTGGTATGTCCGCCAAAAAATTTTTGACCATTAAAATGGTACACTGACCAAAATTTTTTTGGCGACGGGGGGGGGGGGAGGTCGCCAAAAATTTCCGAATATTCTGAAATTTTCTTAGTCATTCGGAAATTTTTGGCATAAAATGTGCAGTGATAAAAAATTCTTAAAATTAGGTATGTATTTGGGTATCTTTTGTATGCCTTCGCTTGCTGACTTGCTCACTAATGAGAATAATCCGTGAAGCCACGACTACCTCAAAATGTACTATACTATAGTCTGATGTCAATCCGAAGACGGTTCGATTTCGTGTATTGGATTTAAGCGATAGATTCAAGTAATTTATGACAGACTTTTTTGCTGTGATGCTTTGCTATTGCTTTTGGTTTCCATTTCTTGTTTTATTTGTTCGATAGTCTTATAATATATAATATTAAAATGAATAAAGTTTTTCAAAATGCTGTTGTTGACATTTGCTATTTTTAGTAATTTTGTCAACGAGTGTAAGCCAATCAGAAGCCTGCGTTTCTATACGAACGCCACTACCAAGAAAACCTATAGTTCCGTGCAGGCCCTCTATTCTTCGCGCCTCCCGTAACCCAGGGCCTGTTCGCAGGCTACCTTAAATATGAATCTGAAAATGAATCTGAAATTGTAGAACCAATCGTGATTATTGAGCAGTGTTGCCAGATCATGAACAAAGTTCACAGTTTTGTGAACTTTTTGTCCTCGACATGAACTTTTCATGAACAACAAGATTTTGTGAACATTTCATGAACTTTTCAAAATAACATGAATTGTTATATAGCTAGCGTGAACACCAAACGTGATTGGCTGATTTGTGGTCACGTGACTTCAGATAAATGCAATGTTTCCCGCCGGGCAACAAGTGAAAAATTGTTGCCCGCCCCGACCGGCCACGTACATAAATAAACAAAATGGCGGCACAACTACGATAATTACAAACTACGATTTTCCAAGTTTGTGTTCAAATAAAGAATGTAAAAGGGAAGAAAAATACAGAACAGGAAACAGGATATGCTGCCGAAACCGTTTAAGTAGGTTCTTTAATTTTAAACTCGTTTACTCTACAGAGTTTTTGTCACGAAAAACAATTGTTGTATATGAATGTTGTTGAAGTTGATTTTTGTTCGTCGCTATATAACAAAACACTTAATGTCTGTTCCCTCGGGAAATAGTTAGTCTTGTTTTCCCTCGAATCTCAATGTTTCCCTCGACTTCGTCTAGGGAAACATTCGGAGACTCTCGGGAAAACAAAACTAACTATTTCCCTCGGGAGCATACATTAAGTGTATACTATTTCATGAATTTTGATTATTGCACTCCCTCAAGATAAATGTTGTAATATAAATTACCACAATTTCGTCGTTAACGATTAATTTTTAATAAATTATATTTATGAATATCTTATTTCTCATTCTCTAATATTCCGAGCCTCCTGGATGAAATGGTCAGCGGTTCCAACATGGTTGTAATTCATATAATACCATATATAGTTGCTCATCTGCAAATATAAAGTGGTTAGCACTATTTTCCATCCAGCAAACTGCCCTATCGATTTTTTGAAGTCGTTTCTTTTTGGATTTTTCTATTAATACGGTTTGGGTTACAGTTAGGGTTGAGGTTGGTTAGGGGTTAGAGTAACGATAGGGTTTGGGTTAATTACATAGCCATTTAATACCTCTTCCATCTTCCGAAAATGACGTCAGGTCAGTTTGCTGGATGGAAAATAGTGCTAACCATATAAAGTCACAAAATACGCCGGATTTAAAGAGACAGCGATTCGATGAGCGATATAAACGATCATGGGAAAATATGCTGTGACATTTGATCACCAAAATATTCGGTATCGGCACCCTGTTGCGTTTAAAGCCCAAATCGCGCAATTCACTATCATTTTTAGCACATAAACCCGAATTTTACCTAGTTATATTTGACTTTTCCCAAAAGTACGCACGGCTTTATGCTCTTTGCGATACTCTCTTTATGTCTACATGGCTTGCTTTTTATTCTGCGCAATATATCCTGTGTCACTTTGGCCATGAACTTGAGCGACCGGCCGCGGTATTGATATATATTATTACTACGGTGAACCCGTGGTTGAAATATACAGCGGCTGTATTCTTTAAAGTATGCGTAAACGACAGAAGTACACACGGATTCTGAAAGCCTGGAATCCAGTGATCAATATGGTACCAAAATGTTAAAATTTGGCGTAATATTTCCATATGTATATACAGTACGTATTCCATATATGGTCATCTCTTGCATAATACTGATGAGCAAATACACGACACTCACGAGCATATACATGACGCTGAAGAGCAAATACACGACGGAATACTTGCCCCAAGACTCCGATGTAAACGCTCGCTATTTATGAATTATGAAAATGGCGGGTTCTGGTAGAATGAAGTGTTGTTCGTATTGTTCGCATTTGCTGTCTAAATATCTTTATATCTATTTCTTCGTAGTTTGTATATCTTCTTAGATCAAGATACATATTATAAGCTGAAAGCCTGAATACTGAAAGGTAAGAGAACCGAAAAAATCCCAGCTTTCTCTCTTGCTATAAAGTAATAAATCTATGATTTATTGATATTTTACCTTGTTTTTATCTACTTTTGACACTTTCAACTTTTAGTAATACATGCACTTTATCAATATTTTCTTTACCGAACAGCGTCTTGGTCAGCTTGTTTATTAATGCTGTTGTTTTTAACATTAATGATAAAAGGAATGAAAGCAAACTTTCTATAAACAGCAATGAATCATATGAAGGTCTTTGACTGCCAATGTGTCATTGTGTGTATAACTATAAGGGCTGTTCATATGAGCACGGATCTGCCGGGTTGGTCCGGCTAGTCATACATTTTAAAAATTGCATTCATATGGAATGGCGGTTGGCCCGGCATTGCCGGGCTTATGTGATTGCAACAACCGGACCAGCCTGGCTAGCTGGGCTGAACATGTTCTGCTTCATGTTCATGCTGTGTTCACAGTGCACCAGTGATAAATTGCCGGGCTCATGCAGCAAATGAAAAGCCAGCCCGGCAAGGAAAGTTAGCTAGCCAGGCCAGCCCGGCTCATATGAACAGCCCCTAAAACTTTAAATTAATCTTCCCTTGTCAGTTTGCGACCCGAGCGACCAAGTCGCGAATGGTCGACTTGTGTCGCTTGCATGAAATTTAAATCGCATTAAAAATTTTTGCGCGAATAATTTTGACATATTAAAAGGGTGTGTACATTTAATACAATTACTTCACTGCGCCAACAATGGGTCTACAAAAACAAAAACATTCTCTAGACTAGAATTGATATTTCTTGGTCGTCGAATAAAACAGTTTGCACCAAGTGTGGAAACGAAATGACTGCCCCAAGTTAAATAAGCGCCGAAAGCTGTTCAATGTATCGATCAACAAAAACAAGTGCATGTAAAAACTTATTGAAGCTTCACAGTTGTTTGTCTATTTAAACAATGTGTGCCGTAATTATGTCGACAAGAATAGTCCGACTTAGTTTGCCAGCGATTTTATTATCGTAGCGAGTAGAAGTTAATCTATAAACTGAAAAGAGTCAGACAACTGTATTATGTAAACAATGACGTCACCGGTGGATTTTTCCACCGGTGATATTTGGCACGCTGCAAGTGACAAAAGTCCTTTCCACAGAGGAAGTGAAGTGCGCCATAGAAGGGCCTGGAAAGGACTTTGGAAAGTCTAGTCTCCATCAGGAATGATTCTGTAGTAGATAAATGTGTATGTGGCTGTTGTGGCAACTAGTCTTTTGGCAAAAGACTAATTATATAGTATCCACAGTTATTACATTGAAATTTGCAATAGTCAAATTTTACAAATATTGGAATTTAAACAATTTTTTGCATATAGTAATTTAATTAATAGTGTTCTCTTACCAAGGAAAATTATTTGCTTTTTTTCTTTTAGATCAAGTAAACAATGAGCTAGGATATAACATGATTAAAACGTTATGCAAAAGATATAGAGCTACTCTGAATGTGCATTTTCACAGCTCTGGATGTAAACTTGAATAATTATGGTACAGTGTTACTCCATGTTTCATATGACATGTCTTAACATATGTCATCTCTATTTTTAACAAGGATTGTCTATTTAGTATTAACTAATACTGTTAAATATTTGTTCCTGCTATGCTAATAAACCTGCATCTAAATAACTAAAAAGACAATACTTTTCTAAATCTTTGAATAATGCAACTCATTAAAAATTTGCTTATAGCAGGCCATTTGCTATGGCTGGCTACGCTATACTGATAATACAATTATTTCAGGCAAGACATTATACAGCTATTTCGATTAAGGTTGTCTTTTGAAAACTATAAACTCTGAGCGTGCAAGTGTTGATGGTTTAATTCTTATTTAGACCCTTCTTTTAAACAATACCTGTAGGCATATGGAAACTTACGAAAACCAACTTGTTACAAACTAAGGTCTAAGCCGGAGTTTAAAGGCTAAATAAGCAATAAACCACCATCCCTTGCACTCTCCGAGTTCACGCTTTAAGCTCTTGGAAGGACAACCTTAATTAACTGAAATAGCTGTATAACTAATACATGCATGTGAGACATTAAGTATTAAGTTAACCAATAAGGCATTATCTATTAACTTTTGTGATGTATGTTTATGACAAAAAATCAACTTTGCACCATATTATGCACTTTACAGTATTAACATTCACAGCGAATTTACGAACATTTATATGACCGACTTCAGTTAGTTATCCAAGGCATGACAACTTTATATCAATATTTGGTAACAGTTTTTTACTTATCTTAATAAAAAAAAACCCAAAAACCCCATCTTTTTGGACTTCATTAATATGTTAATATCTAACTTATAACAACACCCACCCAGATTAGCTTATGCTATTTTCGTGTGTGTTAATTTATGTGAATATCAACCTATATTAAATAAATTAATGAAATGAAAAAACAATATAAGTCACAATATAAAAACTATGCTATATTAAAATTTTATAATTTTTGTTGATTGTGTTTGAAAACTTCCTGATAAGTTAATATGACTTCAGTTGATAAAGCAATTGAATCATAAAGCATTGAATATTTCGATGTCTTCCTTGGTAACAGTAGTATACTAGTTCTCAAAAACCCACAACTGCTTATTATAAATAGACGACTCATTATAATATTTAAATGCATGAAATGTTTTTCAGCAGTGAGTGCATGCATTTTGTTATTGTCTTGAAAATTAAATTTTACGAAAAAAGGAGAAATAATGAAAAACTATTGGCATTGTTTATTGAGTATTGGCGTTGCCATTATTGTATTAATCAGCCATTAATAATCAGGTGATCGGTCTAATGACTACACTTCAGAGTTTTGTTGAAGAAGTAAGTTGCACAACCAGTGATGGGTTCCTGCAGGGATTAAAGAGAACTGCGTGTGCACAATACATTACTCTAAGCATTTATTAAATTAGTCATACACGTACGAGCGGGGCAGTGACCCGGCTTTTTTTCGCGGGAAATATTCCTGCTTTTCGGGCAAAGACAATAAATCCTTACGTATCCATTTGAGAAAATTAGAGAGAAAGTGACTTGGAAACACTTACAATTAACCTCTATATATTTCAAATTGAGCGTAAAACTTGGTAAAATACAGTCCGAATTTGGACGCATAGTAAAATATGCATTGTGTCCCAAAAACCATCCATTCGTTTTTCTTTTGCATCTCTTACAGGTAAACTACGTGAAGCGTTCCTCTTTTGAGTTTCTAAATTGATTGCAATTTTCCTCATTACTTTTGCAATTTAAAAAACTCCCTTGCAAATTCCTTGAGGGAATTTGCAATGTTGCTAAAAGCCAAAAAAATTTCCTCATTTCCTGTTAGAAGTTCTTACCTTCCTGTTACAAGTTCCTAACTTCCTGTTCTGTTCTGCGTGCTGTAATTGGCTAACAAAAATAATCGACCAATAACAACGCTCAGAACAGAACAGGAAGTTAGGAAATTAAAACAGGAAGTTAGGAAAATTTAAAATGAAGTTTGGAATATTGCAACAGCCGATAGGAACATTGCAAATTCCCTGAAGGGATTTGCAAAGAGTTTTTCAAATTTGCAAAGCTAATGAGGAAAATTCCAAATGAGTTACGAAGTCAAAAAGGAACGCTTCACGTAGTTTACCTGTAAACTGGTACAATAAGTGCACGCTTTAAATAAAGTTTGATTAAAAAATTAAGCATACAATGCGACATCAATTAATGGACGTCGTTAACAATACAAACAAATCTTTACATTTTTATTTCAGCGTTTGTCACAGTGTGATTTCTCACCCACACGAAAGTTATTTGGACAACAATATTCTCCCAAGAAAGCGTATTTATAACACTTTGCTATAATGAAACATGAAGAAAAACTAAAGAAATTGGAAAACTTCGAGTTGGAGAGTTTGTACTTTTTAGTTGATATTT